CGGGCCGGCCCAGGACTTAAAAACTTTTATTCTTGCAGCTTATCTGAGAGTATAAATTTTGATATAATATCCTCCCATTTCTTTTTTTTTTTTTTTTTAAAGATGACTGGTAAGGGGATCTTAACCCTTGACTTGGTGTTGTCAGCACCATGCTCACCGAGTGAGCAAACCGGCCATCCCTATATGGGATCCGAACCCGTGGCCTTGGTGTTATCAGCACCGCACTCTCCCGAGTGAGCCACAGGCCGGCCCCATAATATCCTCCCATTTCTAAAGAAACAAATGTTCTCAAGAATTTCTTGCTTATGAAAGTGTCTCAGCTTTCGTTAGCTAAGTACCTTCTTGCTTCTAAGCTGATTAAAATAAGTTTAAAAGAACCCAATTTGAACAGCTTTCTCCAAAGTAAATCCAAAATTAAGCACATACTATTAATGGACTAAAGATTTCCCATAAAATAATTTTGATAAATTTAGACTTTTGAAATATTCTTTTTTTTTTTTTTTGGTAGGGGGCCGTTACCTTTAGACCTTGGTGTTAGAAGGCTGCACTCTAACCAATTGAGCCAACTGGCCAGTCCTGAAATATTCTTAATAGCTATTCTGTCCAGCTATAGAGTAAGGCTGTGCTGCCCAAAAGAACTTTATGTCATTCAGAGTAATGAAAAACAGCATTGATCTTTGCATTATTTACCCCCCCAAAAAGGGTGGAGGGAATAGGCAAAGAAAGCTCTTTCTTAGGCTACCAGTCTGTTAACATACGGTATCTTACATTAAGATTTGGAAACCAAATAATGCATAATTAGGAGTGTACCATGTCATGCAAAGTCTATGAAATACTAAATAAGGTAAAGCAATTACTCATTTAATATACAATCAGCAAATTTTCCTATCACACTGCTATTCTCATCATTGGAAAAAGGTTGGTTTTGTATAATTCCTTAAAAAAGCAGTTCATGAGTTAACACTGAAAATTAAAAATGTGTCAATGCATGGCAAACGGTAAAGATTAAATATCCAGTATCCACAAAATCATTTGAAACTGCTACAGTGGATTTCAGAGGGAAACCAAAAGTTTGCAGACCTCTCTGGCAATTGTCTCAGAGCACTATTCAGAAGCCCTTTTAGTACAGAGTCCCCAAATAGGTAACATACAGATAAAACTTGAAGAGCCCACATCAGCTGACAGTGTAACACTGCCTTTAACTTATGCCTTCAGTTTAATACTGTTTAAACCACAATAAAAGATGTACAGTAGCCAAATAATGTAAACATACCATTAGAGGGTAGGAGAGGGGTGGATTTCACCATATACAAAACAGTAAGTTTATTTTCCCTGCTACCTCTTTTAATTTTTTATTGGCGACTGGTATCAGGATCTGAACTCTTTACCTTGGTGTTGTAAAATCACACTAACCAACTGAGCTAACCACCCAGCCCTCCCACTACTTCTTTGGGTACTGCTGCATATTGTTGCATGCATTTTAAAACATTTAAGTCAGGGCTGGCCAGTTAGTTCAGTCGGTTAGAGAGCAATCTTGTAGAACTCAAGGTCACAGGTCACAGGTCCCCCTACCAGTCAGCCACCAAAAATAAATATATAAATAAAACACTAAGCCAAATCTGTGATTCATTAATCTAATTTACCTAATTTAGCACATAAAATATGTTTTCATTAACATGTACTCAAAATGGATGGAAGGTGGCCCAATGCTATCTTGCTACATGGCATAATTAGAAACATAGCCAAAATTAAAGTGACTGAGGAGAAAACAGGCCAACACAAAAGGTCCCATTTATAAGAGCAACTTCCTAAAGCTGGAGAAATAGAACTGGTGGTTTCTAAACATGAATTTTTGATTCTTTGTAAGTTTACAAATAAAAGATATCATGCAAGCAAACTCCCTAGCAGCCTTATTCATCTTCACCCTGCCTAATCCACCTAAGTTGACTAGTATCACTAAATGGCACTCCTGTCCAGGGGTGAGGTGCAGCAATATTTATGGTCAATTCCTAGAATTGTGGGTTGATATGCTTTTTAAAAATCCTCAACTAAGACCAGTAGCCACTGAGTCATTGGTCGGAGGGTAAACTAAACTATTATTACCTGATTTATGTTTCTTTTCGACTGCAAAAAGAAAAAAAATAATAATTTTTAGAGTACAAAGACCACAGCAAAATTTTCTTGATATAAATATTAAGAGGCCTTAATTATAATTGCTCTAATTTGTTCTTGTTTTGCTCAATGATACCAGCATGTATCATTATACTCTAAAATGTTTAATTCCATTTCCTTTAGTAAAGCCAAATCGTGCTGTTGCTTATGGAGTGATCTAGTGATGTTTTATAATATCTGAGCACACCAACAATTTCAGCAATGAGTGCTTCAACCCTAGTCTAAATTGTGTTTGAAATAGCACCTCTAAGTCACTGAAAGGTAACCTTTGAAGGCACCAAGTACTGTTATATTCTAGTTTATAGTTGGAAAAGGGAGGCCTCACAGATTCTAACTAGAGACTGGCCAGTTATATCTCATAATTTCAATATATACATCTACTATATTTTAGCCAAATTCAAGACCTTACAGACAATTGTGTGCCTTAATTATATACACAATTTTATAAACCATCCCAACCACAAAGGCACTAAAGTTTTTATATATTTGGGATGTGATGAATTATTCAGCTTTTAATACTCAGATGTGTCTGGCCACTACCAGTGCTGAGTAGTAAATTTAAATTTAATTTAAAAAATTTTTAAGTCTTCATCTACCAAAAAATTATTGTGAGTAAAGAAAGGCTTTACTGTTTTCTGTACATTTTTAGCCATTTCTGAAAATACTGTGTAAAGGAAAAAACCTAGTAGCCTATAAAGAACATGCAGTCCTGTCTTGAATGGTATAAAATAGAAACTTAAAGCCAAATTCTCAAATAGGCTTTCCCCAAACTACACTAGATAGGAGACCTGGAAATGGTCAACATAGCTATTCCAAAGGTCAACTTCCAAGCTCCTGTAGGCCATTCTATTTTCTGAATTTTACCTTAGACATTAAAATTCAGAAAAAGGCAAAACAACAACAAAAACACTTCAAAAGAATTTTCCATTTCCTCTTAAATAAACAATCTGTGAAAATTTATTTTACACCTACAGTAATTCCTTAAACCAATTAAGTCAGAATTAACCCATAATTTAATATTTATTAATGGTTCTAAATACCTATTTTCTTTTCTTTTCTTTTTTTTTTTTTAAAAGATGACCGGTAAGGGGATCTTAACCCCTGACTTGGTGTTGTCAGTACCACGCTCACCCAGTGAGCTAACCGGTCATCCCTATATGGGATCCGAACCCGTGGCCTGGGTGTTAATAGCACCGCACTCTCCCAAGTGAGCCACAGGCCAGCCCAGAATACCTATTTTCTTTAACTCAGTTTTCATCCCCATGAACTACAAAAATTCAAGTCTGATTACTGTGGTAGTGGTATGAAACAAGTGTGTCAAAAATGTTATCAGCATACTAATAAACCAGCTCCTTTCTTTTTTTTTATTTTTTATTTTTTGTCCTTTTTGAGACCGGCCGCACCACACTCAGCCAGTGAGTGCTGGGAGCGCACCGGCCATCCCTATATAGGATCTGAACCCATAAATGTTATCAGCATACTAATAAACCAGCTCCTTTCTTTTTTTTTATTTTTTATTTTTTGTCTTTTTTGAGACCGGCCGCACCACACTCAGCCAGTGAGTGCTGGGAGCGCACCGGCCATCCCTATATAGGATCTGAACCCACGGCGGAAGCGCTGCTGCGCTCCCAGCGCTGCACTCTCCCGAGTGCGCCACGGGCCCGGCCCTAAACCAGCTCCTTTCTAAGTTAAAATGCTTCTGAATAATCCCTATAATTTAAATATCCCATTTAAAATCTCTATTGAAAACACTTTGGCCATCTATGAAAAAATGTAGTCATCTGAGATTGCAGATTAACCTTATTCACAAAATAAATTTTAAATGGAAATTAAGTTTCTTGGTGACTTGCTGCTTCTCAAATGCTATTATTGATATAATAACTGATTCTTTACTATACTGTATCAGATATCTTAAAAGAAAAGCAAGTGTCTAAAAAATAGTCCATCATAAATATTTCCTTTTATGCTTGGCAACTAGAATCGTTACCTTTAAACATATAACAATAGTCTAATTCTTAACTTTCATTTTTGGCAGTGAGATGTGGACATCTTTCTCCAACATGAACACATTAAGAAGATACATGTATTTTGGGGGGTGCAGCCGGCCGGTACAAGGATCAAACCCTAGACCTTGGTGTTATCAGCGCCATGCTGAGCAACCAGCCAGCCCCTTCTATTTTAACAAAAGAAAACTTAACTTTTTGTGTCAAAATTTACTGTTGTCAATTGTATTTTAACTGATCAGGTTAACACCATGTGTAGTCTTTATTTCACTGAACAAAATGACTTTGAAATAGAGGGAAAAGAATGGTCAGTTTTAACCGGTGACAATTTTCTAAAAATTCACATTTTCACAATAATATAACATATAGAGATTTGGACAGTTAGTCTTTAACACAGAATGCTGTAATATTTTACACTGTGATGCTTCGGGAAATATTTCTAGAGAATAACCAGTAGTCTGTGCAGGAAATAGCGGTTCGTGCTTCCAGGCATAAATATGGAGAACAGGCTTCTGCTCACTGCTTCAAGAAAGGTGGGCTCCAGGGGAATAGCCTGTCCCACCTTAAAAACTACACCATGAACGCAATTCCCAGTTCCTAAACCCCACTTTAAAAACTATACCATGAACGCAATTCCCAGTTCCTAAACCCCACTTTAAAAACTATACCATGAAAGCAATTCCCAGTTCCTAAACTCTGTTCTCCTTTAATAGATTTTCTAATATATTTTTTCTGCCAGCCATCCAGGTTCCTACCAGTAAGTAGCCCAGATTTCCATTCTTTCACAATAAGAAGGACATCTTATAAAGGATACACAGAGAATAAAGGCATTTTATACAGAAGCAGTATAAAATTTACAGCTGAAGCAGTGCCAGAAATCAGATTAACAATTTATCTGAAGCTGCAAACTTATCGGAAGGGACTTTGAGATCAGAAAAGTCTGGCCTAAGGATTCGTGCAAACTTTATCATAAAATTGTAGAATCTCAAGCACAGGTAAGTTCAAACACTGAAAGATGTGGAAAATTTCCTAAAAGGCAATGATGAAGGAACAGACCCTTCTTGCCTCATAAGTTAAAAATCACAAGAGAAATTAGAGACTGTTCACATGGGCAATACTATACATTATCAATTCCAAACTGATCTTATGAGTCTTGTCATAGATACCTTCAAAAAATCACAAAGGGTAAGATATTCCAAATGGACCAATCACAAAAAGGATTCCTGTGATTCAATTATCCAATTACCTATGGCTATCAATTTAGTCTGGCTTGGGGCTGCTTTTTACAGGGAGGTGGCCTCCCATGGCGTACAATGTGTTTTTCTAAGCTGTCCAGAATGGCCACAGCAATCTGTTGAACATGGGGATCAGTCTGTTCATGTTCTTTGATGTTGTATAAATGCTGCAATCCTCCTTCTTCAATCAGCATGCTGCAATACCTTGAAGCTGAAAGAAAACAGGAGAAACAGCTTTTCTTAAAACACAAATTATCCCACAAAAAACAGTTCTTAGGAGCTATTTGCATTTATATTTTAGTTGTTTGGTTACTGACCACCAACATGCTACAGCTTGATAAATACCTCTGTAATGATGTTATGTGTATAGTGCAAGGCCCACACATAAATAATACACAATCAACCAGTCCTCCATCTATTCTAACCTCAAGGCATAGACAATGTGGAAAAGAAAATAAAAAGAACCAGAATCACAAGTATCTTATCTCTGATCCAAAATCACAGGTAAGATAAGTACCATTATATTTTTATGCATTTCCTATGCTTTTTTTCTCCCCCCTGCAGCTGGCCAGTATGGGGATCCAAACTCTTGACCTTTGTATTATAACACAGCATTCTAACCAACTGAGCTAACAGTCTGGCCCCACTTTTTTTTTTTAACTTAATGGCACTCATATTGCCCATGCAATTTTTAAAAATGTTAAAGATTTTCTTTGCCGTTTGTTCAAAAAATAATTTTTGTACATAACTTTAAAGTTTTTTTTCAGCCATTTTTATTGAAGTATAATTTATATAAAATAAAATGAACCATTTTTATTCTACAGTTTGATGAGTTATGCCAAATGTATACACCTGTGTAACCACCAGCACAATCAGGATAAAGAATATTTTCATCAACTAAGAAGATTCCTTGTGCACCTTTGCAGTCAGCCTCCTTTGTATCTCTCACCTCAGGTAACCATTGTTCTAATTTCTTTTTTTCTTTTTTTTTTTTTTAAAAAGATGACCGGTAAGGGGATCTTAACCCTTGACTTGGTGTTGTCAGCACCACGCTCAGCCAGTGAGCAAACCGGCCATCCCTATGTGGGATCCGAACCCGGGGCCTTGGTGTTATCAGCACCGCACTCTACCGAGTGAGCCACGGGACGGCCCCCATTGTTCTAATTTCTATGATACAGACTACTTTTGCCTGTTCTAGAACTTCATATAAATGGAATCATATGGCATGTCTTCTTTTGTGTCTTCTTTTCCTCAGCATGATGTTTTTGAGATGCATACGTGTTGTTATGTGTTTCACTAGTTTTTTAAGTTGGAAAGTATTCCATTGCATTGAATATACTACATATTTTAAATCCGTTATTGTACTGATGGACATTTGTTGGTCTCCCTGCCTCCCCAAGGTTTTGGCTATAATGACTAAAACAGCTATGATCCATCTTGTACAAGTTATTTTGTGGACTTTCCATTTTGTTGCTCTTGAAGAAATACCTACACTGCTGGAGAAATGTTAAATGTATGTTTGCCTTTATAAGGAATTACCAGACTGTTTTCTAAAATGGTTGTATAATTTTACAGTCCCAACAGCAATGAATGAAAAAGTTGTTCCACATCCTTGCCAATACCTGTCATTGTCCACCTTTTTGATCATAGAGCCATCCTGGTAGGTGTGATGTGGTATCTCATTGTGATTTTAATTTACATTTCTCTGACTAAGGATGTGGAGCTTCTTTTCATGTGCTTATTTGCCATTTGTATATTTTCTTTGGAGAAATGTCTATTCAGATCCTTTGCTGAGTTTTAAATCAGGTTTTCTTTTTATTACTGTTTTTTTTTTTTTTAAAAGATGACCGGTAAGGGGATCTCAACCCTTGGCTTGGTGTTGTCAGCACCACACTCAGCCAGTGAGCAAACCGGCCATCCCTATATAGGATCCGAACCCGTGGCCTTGGTGTTATCAGCACCGCACTCTACCGAGTGAGCCACGGGCCGGCCTCTTTTTATTACTGTTATAAGAGTTCTTTATATATCCTGAAAATAAGTTCCTTATCAGATGATTGTATATAACTTGCAAATATTTTTTTACTATTCTGTGGATTGTTCTTTTTTTTTTTTATTAAAAAGATGAGCGGTAAGGGGATCTTAACCCTTGACTTGGTGTTGTCAGCACCACGCTCAGCCAGTGAGCGAACCAGCCATCCCTATATGGGATCCGAACCCGGGGCCTTGGTGTTATCAGCACCACACTCTCCCGAGTGAGCCACGGGCTGGCCCTGGATTGTTCTTTCACATTCTTTATGATGTCTTTTTAAGTATAAAAGTTTTAAAATTTTTTATTAAATCTAATTAATCTATTTTTTTGTTTGTCACTTGTTATTTTTGTGTGCTAAGAAACCATTGCTTAATCCAAGGTCATGAAGACATACCTATGTTTTCTTCTAAAAGTTTTAAATATTTAGCTCTTTTAGGCCTATAATTCATTTTGAGTTAATTTTTGTATATAATATAAGGTAAGGGTCCAAATTCATTCTTCTGCATGTGCCTATCCAATTTTCCCAGCACCATTTGTTGAAAAACCTATTCTTTCCCCACTGAATTGTCTTGGTATCCTTGTTGAAAATCAGTTGAAGGGCTGGCCTGTGGCTCACTTGGGAGAGCATGGTGCTGACAACATCGAGTCAAGGGTCTTAACCGGTCATCTTTAAAAAAAAAAAAAAGAAAGAAAATCAGTTGACTTAATTAGAACTCAGTTGGTTGGTTAGGGCTCAGTTGGTTAGAGCACAGTGTTGTAACACCAAAGTCAAAAGTTCGGATCCCCCTACTGGCCAGCTGCCAAAAAAAGAAAGAAAATCAATTGACTATAGATGTATTGCATTATTTCTGGACTCTCAATTCTTTTTTTCTTTTTTCCTTTTTGTCTTTTTTACTGACCGGTAACGGGATCGCAACCCTCGGTGTTGCGCCAAAACCGCGCTCAGCCAGTGAGCGGGAACCGATCTCCACATGGGATCCGAACCCTCGGCGGGAGCGCCTCCACACTCCCAAGCGGCGCACTCTCCAGTGCACCACCGGGCCGGCCCTGGACTCTCAATTCTAATGTATGGATCTATCTGTCTCTCTCCCTGAAGTTGAGTATATTTTAATGTGCTTTTTTTTTTCCCTCATCTTTTTTGTGACCGGCTGCACTGCGCTGAGCCAGTGAGCGCACCGGCCAGCGGCGGGAGTGCTGCACTCCCAGCACCGCTCTCTCCCGAGTGCGCCAGGGGGTCGGCCCTTAATGTGCTTATTTGACATCCATATCTCTTCTTTAGTGAAGGCTCTGTTCAACTCTTGTCCATTTTTTTTTTACTTGCATTATTTCCCTATTACTAAATTTTGAGAGCTCTTTATATATTTATATACAAGTGCTTTATCAGACATGTGATTTGCAAATATATTCTCCCAGTATGTGTACTGGTTTTTCATTCTCTTAACAGTGTCTTCAAAGAGCAGAATTTAAAAATTTTGGTCAAATCCAATTTAGGGATTTTTTCTATTATAAATCATACATTTTTACATATCTAAGAAATTTTTGCCTAAGGAAAGATCACAAAGATTTTGTTTTTTATTTTCTACAGTTTTTGGTTTTATATTTAGCTTTATGATCGGTTAGAGTCAATTTTTGTATATAGTACAAGACATGGATCAAAAAGTTCACTTTCTGTGCATATGAACGTCCAGTTGTTCCAGCATCATTTGTTGAAAAGACTATCCTTTCTACATTGAATTGCTTTGAACTGTCAAAAACTAATTAACCATATATGTATGGGCCTATTTCTGTATTCTCTATTCTGGTCCACCGAACTATCTTTGTCTATTTTTATAACACACTTTTTTTTTTTTTCCTTTTTGTCTTTTTTCGTGGCTGGCAACAGATCGCAACCCTCAGTGTTGCGCCCGTACCGGGCCGGGACCGGCAACGGGATCGCAAACCTCGGCGTTGCCCCCGCACCTCGCTCAGCCAGTGAGCGGCCGGTCTGTATGTGGGATCCGAACCCTCGGCGGGAGTGCCACCGCGCTTCCCAAGCGGCTCACTATAGCAGTGCGCCACCGGGCTGGCCCAACACACTTTTTTTTTTTTTTTAATTACTCAAAAAGTCTTCATTTTTATTTATTTATTTATTTATTGGTAAGGGAATCTTAACCCTTGACTTGGTGTGGTTAGCACCACGCTCTCTCAACTGAGCTACCTGGCCTTCCCTACATAGGGATCTGAACATGTGGCCTTGGTGTTATCAGCACCACACTCTCCCAAGTGAGCCATGGGCAGGCCCCAAAAAGCTTCATTTTTTTATTTAGCTTTCTGCCTTTGTGCTTTGTACCTTTAACACTTTCACAATGATTTTCTGCTCTTAAATAAGGAAAGCACTCTTGATCGTGTCATGGACACATGGAACTACCATAGGCATTGCTGACATGTTTTTTGTTTTAGACAACCTCATAAGAACTTTAGTTCTCACAGCAAGAACCCCTATAAGTCTGCCTGGACACACACTGCATGCAGATTTTGGTGCTTCCCCAACCTTCTTGGTATAATGTTAAACAATTCTATTTCCAGGGGTTCAGAACAGCCTAGTTTTGTTAGAGGCTGTATTGTAGGAAAGCCTACTACGGGAATGTCAGATGCTAGACCATTCTGAGTGCCTCTAGATGCCATCCCCGGAAGAGGAAAAACAACACTCTCTGAATTATTGTGTTTTATAGTACACTAGTCACCCTTTATCCATGGTTTCACTTTCCGTGGTTTCAGTTATTCATAGTCTACTGTGGTCTGAAAATATTAAATAGAAAATTCCAGAAGTAAACAATTCATAAGTTTTAAATTGTGTGCCACTCAGACGTGAATCATCCCTTTGTCCAACGTATTCAAGCATAGCCTTCTCAGTTACCAGATTGACTGTTGAGGTATTGCAGTGCCTGTGTTCAAGTAAACCTTATTTTACTCAATCATGGCCCCAAAGTACGAGAACAGTGATGCAAGAAATTCAGATAAGCCAAAGAGAATCTGTAAAGAGCTTTCTGTAGATGAAAAGGTAAAGTTTCAACTTAAGGAAAGAAAAAAGAAATCATATTGTGAGGTTGCTAAGATCTACTGTAAGAATCAATCTTCTATCTGTGAAATTGTGACGAAGGAAAAAGAAATTTGTGCATAGTATATACAGGGTTCTATCTGAG